TATTAATGTCTGTCTTTCACCTTATTGCTTTACACACTTTCATGTGCTTTCATATGACTTAATGGTGTCTTTCTTTTTAACTTGAAGATCTTTTAACACTTCTTCAAGGCAGGACTAGTGGTGGCAGACTACATTAGATTTTGTTTTTATTTCCCTTTGTATCTGAAGGAAAACTGCCAGATAAAATATTCTTCATGGCAGTTAAGTCCATCAGCACTTTGGAAATGTCATTTCACTCTGTCTTTACTTGTAAAGCTTCTGCTAAGATGTCTGCTAATAGCATAAGGGGAGTTCCTTTGTGTGTTATGCTCTCCCACAGCCCTTTCTTTAAGGTTCTTTGTCATTGCTTTGTGACAGCTATAGTAGAATGATCTATTGTCTTCATAGGCTTCTATGTCTAAGTCTCTCCTCAGGTTTGGGAAGTTCCCCAGCTTGTTTCTTCATATGAACTCTTCTCTTTTCTCCTCTTCTTCAATATCAATTATTTTGATATGACTTTCCATCAAAAAAGCAAACTAAGTCACCCAAGCTTTCTTTACTCTTTTTAAAATATAGTCTCCCACTTTGTTATTTCTAAGTACTTAGCAAGTTGCTTATTCTTTCTTGTGCTGTGTCTTCCCTGCTTCATATGTACTCCATTGTATACTTCTCATTCATTGAATTCACATCTTCAGTATTTCCATTTATTCTTTTTTTTCCCCCTCTCTGATAAAGAACTATTTCCATTCACTCATTTATTTAACTTTCCTCACTAATTTAGTTATTTGTTGATTTTACTCACAAAGCTGTCTCAGAATTATTTTTAAATTACTATTATTTTTCTTTGCGTTTGAGTGCAGACTGTTATTCCCTTTCATGGTATAGCCTCCCTGTCTCTTTTCTCATTGTCTTCACTGAATAGATTGTTTTGTCCTATGGCGCTTTTGAGTTTTTTTTCAGTGTTTGTAATTGTGTGCTTTCCATACACTTCTAATACACTTTTTATGGGGCAAATTTGGTTTGCTTTGCTTTACAGTTCTTATTACATTGGCCATTGAACTCTTATGCTTTCATAAGATTGTAATAAAGCTCATTTGTGCTTTCTGAATTCTGTTTTCAAGAGCTTTCTCTTGCAATTGCACATGGATAGCATCTTGTGCAAGGACGGAACAACAGAAAAGGAAAAATCCAACATTAGCAGTAGGCTCACAGGCATTGTTGGCAGACTAAGAGCCAAGGGAATCATACCTAAACTTTCTACTGAACACATTCTCATTAATGACTTTTGAAATTCTTTTATGTCTCTTTCTAATATCTCTAATACTAAGGTGGAGAATATTTAATTTCCCTAATACTAAAGAATTATAATTCAGTCTTATAATCCCCACCTGAGTATTCTGGGTGCTGATAGGGAGATTTAGAAATAGGATTTCCCAGACTTTTCATATCCACCTTACACTCACTGGGTGTGATGTTTTTCTCTGTTGGTATGCTGGAATTATTTTAGGAAGATTAGACTACTTTATATTCTCTCTGCCTTTCACCCAAGTCTTCCCTTGCCCGATTTATACCCAGCCATGTTGAGAGGTATCTTGGTGATTGGGCTGACTTATTCTGCACCCTGTACAGAGATTTGTCTTCCTTTTCATCTGTACTGGTGTGTGACATTCCTCCCAGCACCATATCACAAAACACCCATAATGACTGTTTTACTCATGTATAATTGTATGAAGACAATAGAACTGAAGAGTTATAGAATTGAGCTTGAGAGATGTCCTGGCCACTATTGGTTGAAGGAAGTAGGCACTCTGGTGGTGAGTGTGGTGTTGGAATGTTATATGCATTAAACTGTCATTAATGGTGTTGTGAATCGCAGTACCAAAAATGGTACATAAAAATGGAAAAATTTAAAAGATGGTTCATTTTACATTATATATTGCTGTCATTCTTTTACTATATCAGATAATTTTTTTTCTGAAGTTTACTTTACAGGGAAGAGAAGAGACTGACAAGGTCAGAACTAGTTACATGAAACGAAGGGATATTTATAGGATTTCTATTCTTCAATGCAAAAATCATGCAATCACTTTTTTTAGTATTAGTTTAACAGATTATTCCAAATATAAGATGGAAATAGTGACTAGGTCTCATCATTAAGTAAACCTTTAAAATAATTTTGAAGTTATAAATATACGTTATTATTTTGCCTTATGCATTTATTAATACTAGCACTTTAAATTACATTAAATATAGTATTATCTACTTTCAAAAGAAAGATAACATAAATGATTCAGCTTTAATGTATCATGACAGGGAGAGGGTCACGGTCCTCCCGTTGTTCATCGATTTGCTCGAGCGGGCCCAGTAACATTGTGAGACTTGTTACTGTGTTTGGCATATCGAGTACGTTACTGGGAGCTTGCCAGGCTTTGCCCTGTAGGCAAGATACTCTCAGTAGCTTGCTGGCTCTCTGAAAAGGGTGGAGGAATCAAACCCAGCTCGGCTGGGCTGGCTGCGTCCAACGCAAATGCCCTACCCGCTGTGCTATCGCTCCAGCCCCATGGGAAAACAACATTTATCCTAAAGAAAGAATTACCCATGGTAATAGTATATGAACATTAAAGTAGATACACATTTTTTCAGCAAAATTGAAAAGCAACATCATCATCACTGAAAAATCTACCTTTCCTAGTAAGACATAATGTACTACAGAAATGTATTTGACTATTTTGCTAATGAGAAACATTTTCTTTGTGTAAAATTGCTGAAATTATTAAAAGTAGGGAAATTCTTTGGCTTAAATTCTAATTTTAAAATTCTATGAAAACAGTGCTGATTAACATGGAATATATTTTATTTTATTAGATAATTAAAAACAAAAAGATATCACTCATAGCACAGGATTTGATCTCTGGTACAACATATTACGCACTGCAGGATATGCCTGCCACAGCAATTTTTAAAAAATCAAATAATAATAGTTTATATTAAACGAATATAATTTCATACATATTTTAATGAAGATCGAACTCTAAAATCAACATCATAAACTTACTGTATTGCCTTAAGAATATTTAATAATTACTGGTAAGTCAGTACAAATGAAGATTTTGATTTACAATCTTCTGTTGTCATCTATCTTAAATGGGGAAGTATTAATTGCACCATCTATATTACTAGTTATTTAGACATGGCAAATAATTTTTATAAAAATGAGGCTAATAAGACCAACCATTTTTTTTTTAATCTATGGGTAACTATTTCTTGTTAGAACATGAATATTTTGCTGCGCGGAGAGATAGTATAGGGGCTAAGGCACTCACTTGTCTTGCATCCTGCCACCCATGATGTGAATTCTAGGCACCACATATTGTACCCCCCAAGTACTACTAGGAGTCACTTCTGAGCACAAAGGTAGGAATAATCCCTGAATATTGCAGAAAGTTGCTCAAATACAAAAATGTAATAATAAAATTATTTTGGTTACTGTTTTCTCGGATTGAGCGATAGCACAGCGGGTAGGGCGTTCGCCTTACAAGCGGCCAACACGGCCGACCCGAGTTCGATTCCTCCGCCCCTCTCGGAGAGCCCGGCAAGCTACCGAGAGTATTCGATATGCCAGACACAGTAACAACAAAGTCTCCAATGGAGACGTTACTGGGCCCGCTCGAGCAAATCGACGAGCAACGGGAGGGCCTTTACCTTTACCTTTACTGTTTTCTATTCTGGTAAAGATGCAGAAATTGTCTCACTAAGCAATATCAAGCACAGAGGATAGGGCGTTTGCCGTGCGCAAAGCCAGCCTGGCCTAGCCGAGTTCGATTCTTCCACCCCTCTCAGAGAGCCCAGCAAGCTACCGAGAGTATCTCGCCTGCGCGGCAAAGCCTGGCAAGTTCCCCGTGACGTATTCAATATGCCAAGTACAGTAACAAGACTTATGATGGAGACGTTACTGGGCCCGCTCGAGCAAATATCGATGAACAGCGGGAGGATAGTGACAGACAGTGCTTGTCTTTTGTAATACTGATGGTTAGCTTTTTCTGTTAAATATATCAATAACAATAAAATGAATTATTTTATAAATTGATAGAGTAAAATTGGGCTGGAGTGATAGCACAGCGGTAGGGCATTTGCCTTGCGCACAGCCAGCCTGTTTGAGCCGGGTTCGATTCCTCTGCCCCTATCGGAGAGTCTGACAAGCTACCGAGAGTATTCAATATGCCAAACACAGTAACAAGAAGTCTCACAATGGAGATATTACTGGGCCTGCTCGAGCAAATCGATGAACAATGGGAGGACAGAGTAAAATTCATCTTTTAAGACATGTGCTGTGCCAGGGAGAAAGCTTAAAGTGCTAGGTTTGTCTAAATATTTTTACACAAGGGAACCCTTGTTCACTTTCCAGCATCTCTAACTGTTGCCTGAACCAAATAAACAAGACATTTGCTGTTGACAATGCAAACTTAATGGTCATATATGAAAAGAAAATCGAAGTCTCTCCCTCCCTTCTTCCCCCCTCCCTCTCTTCCTCTCTTTCCATCTTTCCTTTTTGCCTGAGCATAGCCAAAGGTTGCCCAAAATAACAGAGCATGTAGGGATGTAGGTAGGAAGGGAGGGAGGCTTGAATATGGAATATTTTTCTACTTTGTTCATAAAGTTTAAGAAGTATTAGCAGGGTTCATAATTTGCATACTCAATTCAAACTGCCTCTATTACCCACCACAAAACTAGCTAGATGACAAGTTACTAAGTCTATTCTAACTTTGTTTCATTTAAGAAAAAAAATATGAATTAAAATAGAAACTCATAGTCATAAGAATTAAGATCAAAATATAGAATGTTTAGCATATTTTTAACAGAGAAAGTCCTCATTAAATGTTATCTTAATGTTATTTACTAGGAAAGTCGGTGCTCAATAAGTATCTTAAGACTATTTAAGTTAGCTTCTTCATTAAAATATGATATAAACTTTAATCAGATAGTTTTTCTCAAATTAATTTTTTGTTTTGTTTTTGCTTTAGGTCACTTTTCACATAGAACCATATAAAGATAGAAATTATGAAAACATGTACAAAAATGTCAAGTATATTATAGACAAGTAAGTTTCTTCAGTGTTTAAAATTACTGTTATGATTTAATGATAGTGTACAATGATTTACTGTTGTAAGAAAAATAGATTTAGATCACATTTCTGTAGTTCCTTACCATTTATTTTTGAATAGGACAATTAAGGATTGTTTCGCCCTTTTATTTCCTATTTCTTGGGCTATTAAGTCATATTTTCATCTTAAATTTATATTATCTTATATAACAATGAAGGATATGACAATATAAGATGTCAAGTATCTTAAATATAACAATTTAAGATGATATAATGACTTATATAAGCACATATATATGTATTTTTTTTGCTTTTTGCTTTTTTGGTCACACCCAGCAATGCTTAGGGGTTATTCCTGGCTCTACACTCAGGAATTACTCCTGGCAGTGCTTGGAGGACCATAAAGGATGCTGGGAATCAAACCTGGGTTGGCCGCATGCAAGGCAAATGCCCTACTCGCTGTTTTAACACTCCAGCTCCAACTTATATTATTTTAAATTGTTGTTAGATCTGTAGCACTGTAGCACTGTCCCCCCATTATTTATCGATTTGCTCAAGTGGGCCCCATAACGCCTCCATTGTGAGATTTGTTGTTACTGTGTTTGGCATATCAAATACATCACAGGTAGCTTGCCAGGCTTTGCCATGTGGGAAAGATACTCTCCGTAGCTTGCCGGGCTCTCTGAGAGGGGTGGAGGAATCAAACCCGGGTTGGCCGGGCTGGCTGCGTGCAAGGCAAACGCCCTACCGCTGTGCTATCGCTCGGAAATGTGTATCTATTTTATAGCAGCAGATCCAAAACTATATTTTCATTTATTAGTAGTTTTATTTTATTCAAAAATTTTACAGATACTTTGAATAGTATTTCATTAGTCACAAGAAATTGTTGGCAACAGTGAAATATTACAGAAAATAAAAAGCCACATGTGAATTTATACAGAAATTGGGCTGTTTTCCTTATTGGATCCTGCCTGGCAATGCAAGATGTGGAGATCAAATTCAGTTTTCCCATGGGCTTGAACATTCACCCCAATCCCAAGAAAGCGGGCTTTTTCATGGTGTTAGTCATCATTTCTAAATCCCAGTGTAAGATAATTAATATCTGCCTATCTCACTGTCTGATTTCCCAGTATTAAAATTAAATATGCAATTTTAATAATTAAATTTTTATAACTGGTATATGCTGAATCTGCAGCAGTTGTGTTCATTTTAGTACCTAAGAAAGAATTGCATATGAAAAATAAGTTGTAAATGTTTACTTTTATTTATGTTTTTTATTCTAGATATGGAAATCATCCAGCCTTTTATAGGTACAAGACTAAGACTGGCAAAGCCCTTCCTATGTTTTATATTTATGATTCCTATATTACCAAACCTGAAGAATGGGCCCATCTCTTAACTGCCCAAGGGCGTAGCAGCATTCGCAATTCTCCTTATGATGGATTATTTATTGCACTTCTAGTAGAACACAAACATGCACTTGATATTCATCGTGGTGGTTTTGATGGAATATACACATATTTTGCCACAAATGGCTTTACTTATGGGTCATCATATGGAAATTGGGAGTCATTAAAATTATTTTGCAAGAAATTCAACTTACTATTTATCCCAAGTGTGGGTCCAGGATACATAGATACAAGCATCCGTCCATGGAATGCTGTTAACACTCGAAATCGGATCAATGGAATATATTATGAACATGCTCTCAAGTCTGCACTGAGACACCAGCCCAGCTTAATTTCTATCACGTCTTTTAATGAGTGGCATGAAGGAACTCAAATTGAAAAAGCTGTTCCAAGAAGAACCAGTAAAACAGTATACCTGGATTATCGGCCTCATAAACCAAATCTATATCTAGAACTAACTCGCAAGTGGTCTGAAAAATACAGTAAGGAAAGAGCTACTTATGCATCAGATCACTAGCTGCCTCTTGGTGTATTCATTTAAGCCAATTCTTAATGCATTCATTAAAATTTTATAATGATGAATTATCACTTCATAAATGCCTCTTGTTTTAAGTTATGGAGAAAGAAAGATCAGATCAGTATGCACTGCTCATAACAACCCTTCTCAGTGCTGCAGTGAGAGAAGTATGAACACTGTTCCTGTGGCATGGCTTGCTGAATTTCTGACAAAGAACATTTCTACTTTGAGAGCAGTTTAATATGTTTTACTTCACAAACAAATGCTTGTATTATGTTAAGTAGTTAATACAACATTAAATTCTGCTTGTATTCAAGATCAAAAGAAGTAGGATTATGTGTATATTTGGTATTTCTCTTGAGGAGAAAAGACCAACTTAAAGATAAAGTACATGTTTCATTTACTTTCTGCTGTGAACCATATTGTGTTAGGAAAGCTTGTTTTCCCACAGCACAAAAGAAATCATTTTTGCATATTTTGGTTATCTTTAGCATGCAAAATGTTTTGCATATGTAATATTTTTGCTTTCTAATCTTGAAAATCAGATTTTAGAAAATATGGAAAGTTCTTATATAAAAGTTCATAAGTATGCCTCAGTGATTAAGAAAACAATAGTTTGAAGATAATAGTGTACAAAAATGGTTTTGCAGCAGGTTTTTTTTTTGGTATAAGACTTATTTAGAAAGATGTGAGGGAAGAGAGAGATGTATGTGTTTAAGAGAGAACACAGGCTTCTGTGGAGTGGTGAAAAAGGCAAGCAAAGAAACATTGAGCCAAGCAAGCAAGATATGTGTTCAAGGGAGAACAGGGACTTGAAGAGCAAACTTTTTTGCAGCAGTCTTCAACTTGTTAATGTTTTAAAGGGACCAACCATAAGTATTAACTTTTCTCTATTGGCTATCAATTGGATTCATTTATTTCTAATGTTTAAAGGATGGTCACCAAAACTGATAGAGAAAATTTACTTGTATTTGAAATTTATTTCCAATATGTGTTTTATTTGCTTTTGAGTATTGTACTTAATGGCTGAAATATTTCATTAAAAAGAGAATACTTCAAGGTTGGAGAGAAAGTGCAGCAGGGAGTGCTTGGCCTTCCAACTGGGTCTCATCCCTGACACTCCATATGGTTCTCCAGGCATCGCCAGGAGTGATTCCAGGAGTAAGCTCTGAGCATAGCTGGAGATAGCCAAAATATAAAACTAAAACAAGCAAAAACCAGTAATACTTCAAAATATACTGTATATTATAATATTCAGTCAGAAACAAACTTTTATGGTAGCAATCAAATTAATACTTGTAATTTCACTTGATCACTTGACATCCCATAACTCATTGATTTGCTCAAGCAGGCACCAGTAATGTCTCCATTTGTGTAGCCCAATGGTGTCTGCTTGTTCTAGGATCACGAAGAGCCTCAAACTGATCGTTCAGGGTCCTGACGAAAAAGTTTGACCATCTCATAGGTGGGTGGCCACGCGGTCTTTTGACGTCCCATGGAATCCAGCAGGTAATGGCTCTAGTCTTGTAATTTATACTTGTAATTAGTTATGTTGTGAGAAATTAATCATCTATGTGCTAAAAATGAATATTTAAGTTACAGAATAAAATACAGTTTATTGTGTTTAATATTTATAATTAGATTGTCAGCTGAGCACTAATGTATATGTAGCTACTTTATATTATTTATTATACATTTATTTCATTCATGATATAAACTATTCAAAAACAAATTAGCAGGGGAGTTCATTATTAAACAGTTATTTAAATCAGATGAAATAGTTATTTTAGATGGTTTGAAATAAAATATCACTTTTTAAAAGTCATGAATAGTGTCAAACATATTTATAAATTTGATGTTTCTTAGAGAATAATTAGGCCATAGATTTTCCACAATAATAATAATCTACTTTTTAGAAGAAATTTCTAGAATCAATCACATGATCATATAATCAGATATCTTCATAGGAAGATAACCTGTGGATTTTTTTCTAATATTTAGTTAGCCACTGTATTATTTTAGGAATAAACTTTAAATATGCTACAGTTATCTTTTCATAAGATAGATTACAACTTTTTCTTTGTTTATGTATTTAAACCGAAGAAAATCAATAATTTCATGAAATGATTATGAGATTAAAGGGAATGTGTAAAACCAAAGTCAGCAGATCCTCCATATGGATATACCACTATCTAATCTGGTTCTATTGCAAGAGGTAATTCAGTTTTCACCAAAGTGAAAAGTGCCCCTCTAAAGGGAGAACTCTGAAGGGCCTAGGTTAAGGGGCACTTTTTGTTTGTTTGTTTACATTACTGTTTTTCTGAAAAGGGAGCGATTGGCAACTATGTTCAGGAACCTCTAATTATAATCTAGGTAACCTGTTATAGCACTCTTGAATTCAGTGCTTTGTTCCTAGTATATTACCTCAACCATCTAGTAATGATAAGTTTCAAAGTAGTTAAAACATATCCACCTTCATTGCAGAAAGTTATTGTCAAGGAAAAATGATTAGGTTCTGATCTCATGGTCTGTTTATATTTATTATTTTCCTTTTTTTAAATAAAATTATTAGGAAAATTATTTCTAAAAAGTTTGTAATTGTTAGGTACTAATGCTTTCAGAATCTTTCTCAGGTATTCGTTAGAGCTGCCTTTATCAGTAGACTTGCAATACAGTCCTAGATTATGATGATCATAAAGAATAAATAATTGATTTTCTCACCTAAAATATCGTGGTTTGAATTGAATAATGTAACTATTTAAAACAGAAGTTATATATGGCATGAATCTTAGTGATTTATTTTTACAGTTTTAATCAGTTCCATTGCTTTAACTATATAAACCCAATCTTTCCCTTTACTCTTCCCCTTAAGGATTATAATTGTTAAAAACTGCTGTTCCTAATGTTTATCTTAGTAATTTATTAACTTTTATTTCTCTTTTAGGAATGTATAATTAAAAGATTACTATTTTGTTATATGGATTTGTTAACTTTCATTTAATAAAAGCATACATGAAATTGTACCTTAAAATATAAAATCTGAAATATGATTTACTTGATTTCTGAATAAAAGTTCATTTATATTGCTCATCTGGCACTCATATATTGTCTGTTGAGATATGCAACATTTATAAAATAGTTCACTTTAACTGTACACACTTTATAAATCTGTAAATATAAGTATGTATACACATTGTGTATGTGTGTCTGTTTTATTTAATTTGGCAGAGGTCTGACATGCTTTAGAAACTGAACTTTTCCTACACATTAACAACCCACCTAGAGAAACTACATAAATTTACATCCCTGGTCAGTATTTAATTTGAACATTATGACTGGGATCAGAGAGATAGTACAATGGGTTAGACACATGTGAATCGTATGTCTGATGTAGGATTGATCCCAGGGACCTCATAAAAAAAAAAAAAGATAAAACCTAATAAACATTATAACTACTTCTTAGCTCCATTGCAGCAATTATTTTTAGTTTTTTTTTAATTGAATCACGGTGAGAGATACACAATAAAGGGGCTCATGGTGGGGTTACAGTCATACAATGTTCCAACATCTATCCCTCCACCAAGTGCACATTTCCTACCACTAATGTCTGCAGTTTTACTCCCACCACCCCTTACCCCTAGCCTGTCTGTATGGCAGAAGTTTTTCCAGAAATGGTATTGCTGGGTCAAATGGGAGCTCAGTTTCTAGTTTTTTGAAGGATATTTTTAGCGATAGCACAGCGGTAGGGCATTTGCCTTGCACGCAGCCAACATGGCCGACCCGAGTTCGATTCCTCCGCTCCTCTCGGAGAGCCCGGCAAGCTACCGAGAGTATCTCGCCCGCACGGCAGAGCCTGGCAAGCTCCCCGTGACGTATTCGATATGCCAGACACAGTAACAACAAAGTCTCAATGGAGACGTTACTGGGCCCGCTCGAGTAAATCGATGAACAACGGGAGGACGATAACAGTGACAGTTTTCAAAAAAGGCTTAACAGAGTCGGCATTCCCACCAACAATGAATGAAATTTTCTTTATTCCTGAATCTGAGCCAACACTGGTTGTTCTTTTCATTTTCCAGTCTCTGTGGTGTGAAAAGATATCTCATTGCTGTTTTGATTTGCATCTCCCTGGTGATTAATGATGTGGATAATTTTTTATTTATATGTCTTTTGTTCATTTGTATTTCCTCTTTGAGAAAGTTTTTGTTCATTTCTTCCCCCCATTTTTTTTATGGGATTGGATGTTTTTTTCTTGTAAAGTTTTATCAGTGCCTTATATATCTTGGTTATTAACCCCTTATCAGATGGGTATTGGGTAAATATTTTTTCCCAGTCTTTGGGCTGTTTTTGTATCTTGGTCATTGTTTCTTTTGAGGTGCAGAAGCTTTTTAGTTTAATTTAGTCCCATTTGTTTATCTTCGTTGTCACTTGCTTGGACTGTGGTGTTTTGTCCTTGAAGATGTCTTTAGCTTCAATGTCATGGAGAGTTCTGCCCACATTTTCCTCCATGTTCCTTATGGAATCAGGTGTGAGACTGAAGGATTAATCAATCCATTTTGATCTGATTTTTGTGTCTGGTATGAGAAGTAGGTCTGAGGTTCATTTTTTGCATGTAGCTGTCCAGTTTTCCCAGCACCACTTGTTGAAGATTTCCTTGCTCCATTTCATATTTCTTGCTCCTTTGTCAAAGATTAGGTTATCATATATTTGAGGGTCATTGTCAGAATATTCAACTTGTTCCATTGATGTGTGGGTCTGTCTTTACTCTAGTACCATGCTGTTTTAATTACTAGTGCTTTGTAGTACAGTTTGAAGTTGGGAAAGATAGTGCCTCCCATCTTCTTTTCCCAAGGATTGCTTTAACTATTCATGGGCATTTATTGTTCCATATGAATTTCACGAGTGTTTGATTGTTTTTTTGAAAAATGTTACTGGTATCGTGATAGGGACATTATACATTGAATCTGTATAATGCTTTTTATTGTCATTTTGATGATGTTAATCCTCCCAATCCATGAGCATGGAATGTGTTTCCATTTCTTTGTGTTCTCTTTTATTTCTCTTTTTTATTTATTATTTTATTTTTTTAATTAGTGAAACACCATGAAGTACAGTTATAGACTTACAAATTTTTGTGCTTGAGTTTCAGTTATACAATGATCAAGTACCCATCCCTCCACCAGCGCCCATCCTCCACCACCATGGGTCCCAGCATCCCTCCCATCTCCCATCCCCCCATCCCACCCTGCCTCTGTGGCAGGGCATTCCCTTTTGTTCTCTCTCCTTTTGGGTCCTGTGGTTTGAAAGAGAGGCATTGAGTGGCAATCATGTTTGGTCTATAGTGTACTTTCAGCATGCTTCTCCCATCCTGGGAGGATCCTCACAACACCCTTTATTTGGTGCTCCCTTCTCTATCTGAGCTTCCTTTTCCCCTAGCACATGTGGCTGGCCTCCAAGCCATGGAGTAAAATTCCTGGTACTAATCTCGGCCACTCCTGGGTGTTAGTCTCCCATTTTGTTACTTTATGTTCCCCAGATGAATGCAGTCTTTCTGTGTCTATCCTGTTCTTTCTGACTCATTTCGCTTAACATGATACTTTCCATGTAGTGCCATTTGTATGTAAATTTCATGACTTCATCTTTTCTAACAGCTACATAGTACTCCATTGTGTAAATGTACCAGGAGTTTCTTTAACCAGTCATCTGTTCTTGGGCACTCAGGTTTTTTCCAGATTCTGGCTATTGTAAAGCATTGCAGCAATTTTTTTTAAATTTCTTTTTTATTATTATTAGTGAAACACCATGAGGTACAGTTGTAGATTTACAATGTTTTGTGCTTGGGTTTCGATTATACAATGATCAGATACCCATCCCTCCACCAGTGCCCATTTTCCACCACCATGGATAATATCCCCCCACCCCCATCCCCCCATCTCCCCCTGCCTCTGTGGCAGGGCAATCCCCTGTGTTCTCTCTCCTTTTGGGTGTTGTGGTCTGCAAAAGAGGCATTGAGTGGCAAACATGTTCAGTCCATAGTCTACTTTCGACATGCATCTCCCCTTCTGGGAGGATCCTCCAAACACCCTTTATTTGGTGCTCTCTTCTCTATCTGAGCTGCCCTTTCCCCTAGAATGCCCGGCTGGCCTCTAAGCTATGGAATAATCCTCCTGGTGCTGATCTCAGCTATTCTTGGGTATTTATCACATATTTTGTTACTTTAGATCCCCCAGATGAATGCAATCTTTCTATGTCTCTCCCTCTCTTTCTGACTCATTTCGCTCAGCATGGTACTTTCCATGTTGTAGCACTTGTATGTAAATTTCATGACTTCATCTTTTCTAAGAGCTACATAGTACTCCATTGTGTAGATGTACCAAAGTTTCTTTAACCAGTCATCTGTTCTTGGGCATTCAGGTTTCTTCCAGTTTCTGGCTATTGTAAAGAGTGCTGAATTGCAGCAATTTTTAAAAGTCTTTATCTGAATTTTCTATAAATGCCATTCTGTTATCCCATAATATAGAAATAATACTGTATTACTAAAAGAATTTATTATTTTATTAATATGGACATTCAAAAAATAAAAATTACATAGCCATACTTAAGTTTTATATCAAATACTTTAAAAAAAACAAAATCTATTCACATTTTTAAATATCAAATATACATTAAAAAGTTGGAAGGCACTGTAGCACTGTTCTCCCGTTTTTCATCAAGTTGCTCAAGCGGGCCCAGTAACGTCTCCATCGTGAGACTTGTTACTGTGTTTGGCATTTAGAATACGTCATGAGTAGCTTGCCAGACTTTGCCGTGCGGACAAGATACTCTTGGTAGCTGCGGGCTCTCCGAGAGAGGTGGAGGAATCAAACTTGGGTCAGCCAGGTCGGCCGTATGCAAGGCAAACGCCCTACCGACATGTTCCTTATTGCTCCTACTTGCAATTAATGTCTTCTACAACTTTATATTCCCATTGTTGGAAAAAGAGTAGATTGTTGAACTGAAGAAATATTCACCTGAAATTTCGCTTATACAATATCACAAAGCGGTTTCTTTCATGAACATTTCTTATTCCCTCAAGCTGCTTTCAGGAAGACTGTAAATATGTTTTATGATTAATAGTTGTGGCCAAATGTTCTATAGATGATTTTATTTTCTCTTCATTAGTTAAAATATAAAAAATTAAATTATTGTTTAGTTTCATGGTTTTCTAAAAGACAATTTTAAGGAAGCACTGTCTATCAAAAATGATTTTAAAACCCCATTGCTTACAGAAGAGTAAGGCTATTGGAATGATTTACTGTATTAATAGAAGCAATTCTTTAAGTTTCCAGTAAACAGTCTTTTTGTCAACTATTACTCTAACAGTATGTTTGAAATAGTAATAGTTACTGAAATATTAACATAATTCCTGCACATTTTCTATTAAATATTTTACTAATCTTAACACTGCTTTTTATTTTTTGTTTATTTTTTATTTTTTTGCTTTTTTGGGTCACTCCCGGTGATGCTCAAGGGTAACTCCTGGCTCTGCACTCAGGAATTACTCCGGGCAGAGCTTAGGAGGACCATATGGGATGCCAGGCATCGAAGCCGGGTCGGCCACATGCAAAGCAAGTGCCCTATCTGTGGTACTATAGCTCTGGCCCCAACACTGCTTTTAAAACAAAACATACATTAGAAAAAAAAATTTAAGTAAATATTTACATCTTTTCCAGACAGGAAAGTCTTGTGTTAAAAATCAGCCTCATTTATCTGTTCATCATAATTCTTCATAGGTCAATCAATATTAATGTTTTTTTTTCTATTTATGGTAACATCCTTCAAAGAGAATTCAAAATATTTAGTCATTAAATTACAGGAGTGGGATGCATAAGCCATTAGGAGTACCACACACACACGAGAAGCTCTAGAAATCTTGATGTTAGTTTAGAAATGAAAAGATAAATTTATTACTATTTTATCTATTTTATTATTTGTTTATTATTACTGCTTTCTCCTCCGCCCAATCAAATACCACACTCACTCAGTGAGCCATGTCCATATATAATCAATCACATAATAAATACGAGCAGGACTGATAATATACTTAAAAA